ACACACACACACACACACACACACACACACACTGAAATGGGCGAGACAGAAGCGGAAGGTGGTTCTTAGCAACAGAGGCCAATTTCATGGCGTTTAGAAGAGGAAGTGATGATAAGATAACATTTTAATAACAACTAAAGGTGACATAGATACTTTATTATGGTATAGTATTTAAATGTATGCCTGAGAAACACATAATATTGGCCCTTTAACCAACTAAGTGGGATAATTTTTTGGAAAGTGAGGACATTTTCCTGGTCCTTTATTTTTATTTTTTAGCTCTACTGCACTCTATAAGTTAGGTTTAGAGCTATGGTGTGAATTAAGTTTTGGTTCAGGTTAGGGTTAGCCATAGTCCAGTAATAGTTAGTTTTAGGGAAAATGTCTGGGTTWGGCATAAAAGCAGTTACCAAAATGAATGGAGGTCAGTACAAAGTCCTCAGTTTGRAGTACAAGGACGGTGTGTGTACGTGCACGTTTTTACTGCGTCGTGGAAACCATTTTCCAAAAAAATGCAGTCCCCATGGGTATGGATGCTGATTTTGGGTGTGGGGTTTAGGTTTAAAACCAAGGTGTGGATTGAGTTTAGGTTAGTTTTAAGGAATGATCAAGATATAGAAAAGACTGGAAAATGAATGGAAGTTAATGCACAGTCCCCACGGAGATATAAAAACATATGTGTTACAGGCAGTGTTCAGAAAAGCATAAAAGATTTTAGAAATGACTGTGAACCTTTCTGTGATTTCCATCAAGGGAGCAGTGTGTGTCGTCTGTCAGCTGAGTTGAGTGACCCGCATGTTTCAGGCTGAGAATGAGTTTCGACCCGTCTGTATGTCACTCCTGAACTCTGTGTTTTCTCCTCAGCCACRACCAGCCCGCTCTCGTCTCTGTTCAGCCTCATTCGCAGCGTGTTGGTGGCCGCTCTGCTGTATGGGTTTTGCCTCGGCGCTGTCAACGTGAGTGCTTTGTAAACTCTTGAGGTTTAAGGTATAAGAGTGCCATGTTCTGGTTTGAGAAATTCTAATTGTTGTGGATTATTGTTTATTTAATTCTGCTTGTTTAGGCTCCGTGGGGGGATGCCCATGTGCCAGTGCTGTTTTCTGTTTTTTGTGGCCTTCTCCTGGCTTTCTCCTATCACCTCAGCCGGCAGAGCAGCGATCCTACCATTCTGTGGTCAGTATCTTCTGTCTGATTGACCTCACTTTTTAACAAACGGGGAGTTTTAAACCCAGATGAGGATACCAGTTAAATGTGACGATGACACTCTAATAAGATGCTTTTTTTTTTTTTGCTTTTCCTTGACCTTATTTGTTACACATCAAGAAAGACAGTGTTAGTATTTTAGCAGTTTTACACATTTTACATATAATTAGTATTTCCAGATGCCATCTAGGCAAATACAGGAAACSTGTGTAGAAAGGAGTGTTAGAGGACGTACTTGTGCTGACTTGCTGTTTTCCTCCCATTATAGCCTGTGAAGACTGATGTTCCAAATTAGCTGTTTGCTGTACAGCGTTGAAATTTCTTTGTGTGCTTTTTACCCCTTTTACATCAGGTCACTGGTCCGGTCTAAAATACTCCCAGAACTGGAGAACAGAACACCAGAAGACCCCCCTGTGGAGATCAAGGACCCTCTGCCTGAGAAGCTGCGTAACTCTTTGGTAAAAAGAAAAAATAAAACTGCCTGTGTAGATTCAAGGAGCTCGTTTCAGGATGGYTTTTTATCTTTTGAAAGTCAACTTTCTTTTTTCTTTATTTTATCTTTGCAGGGTGAAATTCTTCATTCAGACCTCGTCATGTGTCCCCTCATGGCTGTCATCACCTTCGCCATCAGTGCCAGCACCGTTTTTATCGCTCTGCAGGTGAGTTGGAGCGGCGTTCTCGTTCCTGTTCTTTCAGTAACTTCCTGTAATGTCTGTGATGACAAGTGTTCTTAAATTTTTTATTTTATTTTTTTTGCTTCATCAAAAGCCTGCACTCAGCTTCGTCCTGTACATCCTAGCTGGAGTTATAGGCTTCATTACACACTATCTCCTGCCTCAGCTCCGCAAACAGCTGCCCTGGTTCTGCCTGGCCCACCCTGTCCTCCGCTCCAAAGAGTACAGTCAGTTTGAGGTCCGAGGTGAGCGGCTGGTTGATCTTTTCTCTTCACTCACATCAAAACACCTGAACAGCAGAAAAATGTAACTYAAAGACTGGAACATTAAAAGTATTGATTAGACTGAACTGTTTATATCTTTAAATGCCGTTAAATAAAGAAATAATTATCGTTGGCAACTGGTGGGATTTTCTATTTATCGCCAGTTTTGTTGTAAATTTCACAAAACAAAACAATATTTTTAATTTGTGTTTATCAGGTATTTAATTTTTTTCTTGTAAACACAAGGATGAGCTTAGCCCTACTAGCTCACTCACACCATCTGTCCCTGGAACCATATATTCTCCTTTTTAACAGGTTGCCACTTTTCTTGGGCTAACTAACAATATCTGGTCAAAATCCTGCAGTAATAAAGTATAACAACCTAAATAARGCTGTTGAAACAGTCCTGCTCATACTGAGTCCTGAGGTTGGACTCAACCTCTCAACAGTACTATTAAAACTCTCACACTCCACGTCCCCCAACTCTGAGGGGTCTCCTGGGGTGAGGACCTCAAGAGGTAGAGGTCAAAAATAACACACTGCATCTTTTCTGTTGTACTTCTTCCTGTTTGACGATGGCTCGAAGTGTGTGTAGTGATTAGCAACCAGTATTTTTAGAAATTGCAAAATACCCTATTGTGAAATCACCATTTCCTCTTTATTTTCAGCCTGATCTGACAGATTTAAGTGTAAAGTCTAAATGTTTGTGAGTTTCCTCGACAGCTGTGTGAATCTCTCTCTCTCTCTTTGTGCCAGATGCTGCTCAGTTGATGTGGTTTGAGAAACTGTACGCGTGGCTTCAGTGTGTGGAGAAGTACTTCATCTACCCGGCTGTGGTGCTGAACTCTCTTACAACTGAAGCTCGAACAGTTGGCCAGAATCACAAAGAGATGGACATTTAGTGAGTCTACTGTTTTTGTGTTTTCACTATTTTCCAGCTACCTGCCATGCTGTTGTTTGTGGCTGCTCTCTYAGTACTTGCTGTTAAGTGTATGTACAATTACACAACACAAGATTTGTTACATYTTAAACCTCCACCAGGTGTGATGTTGTCACCAGGCTAGTTARTCATAGTGAGTAAGATGCATTTAATCGGTTTCTTCTATTTATTCTTCAGCCACACGATTCAGTAGGTGTTGAAGGAGAACATGTTTWTTTAAAAAACACTATTTTCAGTTTRTAATTTTTCTACTTTGTCTCATAAATATCAGCTGTATCACTGAAAATATACAAACTTTCAGCTGTATGTTACAAACTTTACAAAGTTGGATTTTTTGTTTGCTTTAAAAAAACTGCAGTGTTGAGTCCAGTGTAAAAACATACTCTGAAACAATCATGAAACAACTTTAAGAAAATGACTAAAACAACTGGACCAATTTTACCCAGGACCACATCTGCTGGACTTCTGTCTTTCTGAGGGTAAAGGACACTTTTGATGACCAAAGTAATTAGAATTTGGGCAGAGAAGACAAACGGTTTGAGAGGAAAGTAACCTGTGTATGTCAGCGTGTCCCTGACTTCCTGTCCCTGTCTCCGTCCAAGGTTTGTACAGGGTCTTAAAAAGTCTAAAATTTGAAAATCAAAATTTTAGGCCTAAAAAYAGTTTTAAAAACACCCAGATTTTCATCCAAAGTCTGAAATTTTATTTTGTCAAGTCTTGTTTTTTTTTTATTTTTTACTTTCAGTCATTCCCAAGAAGTGTTGACTGCATAAATAAACATAAAGCACAGTAATCAGAGGTTGATGCYATCTGTCTTCATGAAGTGCTAACTTTGCTACCAGTCTTTGTACGCGTTAAACTACAAATCCCAGGATAACTGCAGGCAAAAATGGCACACTTTACGTCCATATTTTCTACCTCTTTGCTGCTACAACCCTGAGCATACGGCAGCTTGTTCACCCGCCCAAAAACAAAGAAGTTCAGTCATGTCTGCTGCTTGTGGTTTAGACATGTGAAAGTGTGTTTTCAATGAGACTTGGCTGGATATCAGGGATTTCTGCACTCTGTTTGGAAGCGGTCCACAGCACCATTTCATTAAAATAATTTGGTGTTCTTGTATTAAAATTAAATATTCTTTTGTAGCTAAGTTGATAGCAATAAAAGGTTTCTATGTTAAAATGTTTGGGATCCTTTGAATGTTTTTGTTAATGCATCGGTTTGGTCTTAAATATCATTCCTAATGGTCTTAAATTGAAGTTACTGAAACACGCATGAACCCTGTCCGTCTGTTTCTGCAGCAGCCGTGCGCTCTTCATCTCTGTAGCAGGCATGAAGCTGCTGCGTTCGTCCTTCTGCACCCCGTCYCATCAGTACGTCATGCTGTGCTTCACCACCCTCTTCTTCCACTTCGACTACCCGCAGTTTTCAGAGACCTTCCTAATCGACTACTACTTCATGTCCATTCTCTTCAGCAAGGTCAGAACATATTTCATCTGCATTTTTCTTTTTGACAGTTAAACTAGTTTCTCCTTCAGAGACACTTTGTTCAGCWTAAAGGAGAAATTTAAGTTAATTTCTGCTTTAATTTCTGTTGCATTACAAATGCTGTTGTCAGCATGTTTCTTTTTTTTTTCCTCAATGTGTCTGAAAGTGTGATTTATTCCTTGTTCTTTCAGATGTGGGACCTTCTGTACAAGCTGCGCTTTGTGTTGACTTACATAGCCCCGTGGCAGATCACCTGGGGCTCGGCCTTTCATGCTTTTGCACAACCTTTTGCTGTGCCCCGTATCCTTTGGTTTCTCTGAGTTTGTAAAAGCATAAAAGGGAAAAATGTCTGAACTTTAAGTATTATACAYCCTAAGGCTGTTTATAATATTAGGTCAAGTCCAGACATCAGCTCAGRATATTAAGCTATGTTTTGTTGCAGGATTATTGCATAAAATAGCATTTTCACAGAATTAAATGTACATTTTTTTCTCCCTGAATTGTCCTTAACTTGTTTCTTTAGACTCTGCTGTGCTTTTTGTCCAGGCCATTTTTTCTGCTGTCTTTTCCACYCCCCTCAATCCAGTTTTAGGCAGCGCTGTGTTTGTCACCTCGTACACAAGACCTGTAAAATTCTGGGAACGAGACTACAAGTACGTTTGTTATCCAAGCTAAACTGAAAGTACCCTGTTTAACAYCTAATGCTTAATTGTCTTTTATTTCAGCACCAAACGTGTCGATCATTCCAACACAAGACTCGCCACTCAGTTAGATCGCAACCCAGGTTTGTTCTTTCACATCTGATGATCTCTGCATCTTTTTAGTTTGCAGCCACCGGGACGATCTTATTTTTAAWYTGTTTTTTTCTGAAGGTGCTGACGACAACAATTTGAACTCTATTTTCTATGAGCACCTGACYCGCTCCCTGCAGCACAGCCTGTGTGGAGACCTGCTGCTTGGGCGTTGGGGCAACTACAGCACAGGCGACTGCTTCATCCTCGCGTCAGACTACCTCAACGCTCTGGTGCACATCATCGAGATCGGAAACGGCCTCATTACCTTCCAGCTGAGAGGTCTAGAGTTTAGAGGTCAGTAGTTCTAAACCAACAMTGTCAAACTCATTTCACTGACAGTCACATGAGCATTATTAACCTCAACGTCTCATTGGCTGAGCACTGCTAACAAACAATAACTGAGCTCTACGTAGTGTTTCCTGCATAGAAATTGTGTTTTATCACGTCCTTTTGTTAGCACTGGAAAATACTACGTGTACTACTAAGTAAACAGGAAATAAATAAAACAAATACTAGTAAAAGTAAAAGGGTTTTACTCCTTGTTGTATAGAGTATCTGCCATCTTCAGATGAACTCTGCCACTTTCCAACAAGGAATTCTCACTTGAGGGGCGTTCCAGTTTAAATTTACAGCTTGCAAGTGGGAAATTCCCTTTTTTCAGTATAACTGGGTCGCAACAAAAGTAGCCAGAGAAAATGTAGCAAAATGAAGATTTCAGCAGCTACCTTTTAAACTTAGTGATGGGGTGTCATTTGTGAGTAAAATGATCTACATGCAGTATGAGAGACGTAGTTTATGATCAATGCTGACTTTAAAGCAGCATACACTTTATTTTAAGACATTAATACATCTTTGAAGCTCTCGTTAAATAAAATGCTGCAGCCAACCACAGTTTTCTCTAAATGTTCTAAAGTCTTCAATTATCTAAAAGTTACTTTTTTAGTTTTATGCACAAATCTTTGATTCAGAAGGTTTTACCTTCTGGTAAACTGATGAAATGATTTGTTTGTTCTTAATGTTAGGGACCTACTGTCAGCAGAGGGAGGTAGAGGCCATTACAGAGGGGGTGGAGGAGGATGAAGGCTGCTGCTGCTGTGAACCGGGTCATCTGCCCCACATGTTATCTTTTAACGCTGCGTTTGGACAGCGCTGGCTGGCCTGGGAAGTGGCTGCCACTAAATATGTCCTGGAGGGTTACAGCATCAGTGACAACAATGCTGCGTCGATGCTGCAAGTGTTTGACCTTCGTAAGATCCTCATCACGTACTACGTCAAGGTACATCTGATAAATAAAGGTCCTTTTGAAATGTGTGGCCGATTATTTCTTTTAACAGGTTGTCAGAGTCACTTTTACTGATAAAAATTTAATATTTTCTTATAGAATTAGTTTAAATGCTTCCAAAAACACATTTCAAGAGTTTAGAGGGAAAATATAACATTACTACATATTGACATGAGTACTTATAAAATATAGTGCTACTTCTGTACCTTGAATACGACCAGTTTTATTAATTTATTTTATTAATATTCACTATTGGTTTTAAAATACTAAAGATGAAAAATGTTTTTTATGTTGTAATAATTTGTCTCCTCCTCAGAGCATCATTTACTACGTCAYCCGATCCTCTAAGCTTGAAGAGTGGTTGACTAACGAGACAATTCAGGAGGCTCTGCGGCCGTGCCTCGGCTCCAACTACGTGGACAGTGATCCCACCTTCAACCTGAACATCGATGAAGACTACGATCACAGAGCCTCCGGCATCACCCTGTCCTCTTTCTGTTTGATTTACCTGGACTGGGTGCAGTATTGTAACAGCAGGCGTCAAACGGTGAGACCTGCTGCAACATCTGCAGTAAAATCTCACATAGAGCTGGGTTGTTATTGCTTTTATTACCTGTTGAGTTTATTATTTAAGATTTGGCTGCATTTATCCAAAGAAGACTCAAAGCAGAGATTTACTCTTTGAAAAATGACAATGAGAGAAACTAAGTGAAGGTGTTTATCTTGTGATAAACCTTTTCTGTGTAGGACAGGGGTCTGCAACCTGCGGCTCTGGGGCCACATGTGTCTCTTTGGTCCCTCTACAGTGGCTCTTTGAAAATGTGACCAAACGTAATAGATTCTTTTTTTGTTTGTTTGTTTTTATACCCACAACAGAAATCAATTTGTATGCAAATACGTGATCATTACTACTAATACAAAGTAAAACATGTTAGCTCATGCTAGCCTGTTGTTTACTCAAATAATCCAACTTCTTTCTATGATCTTTCCTTCAATCATCAAAATTACCTTTAAAAAATATTAAAAACTACATAATAAGAATTAGAAAAATATATGCCTGAATAACTCAGTTGTACTAGTTTTTATAAAATTAGGTATAAACTATAAATGGTATTTTTCTTGTTTACATGAATCCGGTCTTTTTATTTGTTCTGATGGGTAAAAAAAGATTATAAATAATAAAATCCCTTATATATTTTTTAGTTTTATTATGTCACCTCCTCTGGCCGTAGAGGTTCCCAAAATGACCTCGAAAAGGCCCGCGGACCACCAGTTGATAATCACAGTTGTAGCTTATTTTACAGCTCTGGACACATTTTATTACAGCGTCAGTAGCAGAAACGGCTCTCTTGATCGTAAAGGTTGCAGATCCCCCTGGTCTAGGAGATGCTTTTTACATTGTATGAAGCATTTGAGCTTTTCAGTTAAACAAGCCTTTATTCCACTAACTTTAGTGCATTGTCGCAGCATTTTCCAGACTTGACACCAGAATTTCTATTAAATGTACAGGATTTGTTTTTCTGTGGTTGTTTTGTAGCCGGTGGTTTGTGAAAGAGATTCTCCGCTCGTCATCCTGTGTTTTGGTTTGTGTATCCTGGGAAGGAGAGCTCTGGGCACAGCGTCTCACAGCATGTCTGCAAGGTAAGACCTCCAGATTCAATCTTTACTTGAATTCACGTTCTGCCACGAATTAAGTGTTAATTTTTTGGGATTTGTTTCTTTGTCAGTTTGGAGCCTTTTCTCTACGGCCTCCACGCTCTCTTCAAAGGAGACTTCCGCATCACATCTCCCAGAGATGAATGGGTGTTTGCAGATATGGACCTGCTGAATCGGGTTGTGGCGCCAGGAGTACGGATGTCCCTCAAACTCCACCAGGTAGCGTTTCAAAAGAAAGGAGGTATTTTACTGACACGTCAACCTTTACAGTCTGCCTTCTGTCCAGGATCACTTCACGTCTCCGGATGAATACGAGGATCCCATGGTTCTGTTTGACGCCATCACTGCCAACGAAGAGAAGATGTTGATATCGCATGAAGGTGACCCCGTGTGGCGCAGTGCCATCCTGGCCAACATGCCCTCGCTGCTCGCGCTGCGCCACATCATGGATGATGGCAGCGACGAGTACAAGATCATCATGCTCAACAAGAGGTTCCTCAGCTTCAGAGTCATCAAGGTCTGTTGCATACACTGATTATTGTTATTATTTACTCTATTTAAAGTGTAATAATACAGAAAGTGAGCTTGTGTTTGTGTCTCCCTTCCTTCCAGGTGAACAGGGAGTGTGTGCGGGGGCTGTGGGCAGGTCAGCAGCAGGAGCTGGTTTTCCTGCGTAACCGTAACCCAGAGCGTGGAAGCATTCAGAACGCCAAGCAGGCCCTGAGGAACATGATCAACTCCTCCTGCGACCAGCCGATTGGCTACCCCATATACGTGTCCCCCCTCACCACCTCATACGCTGGGGGGCACAGTCAGCTGCGCTCCGTGTGGGGAGGGCCAGTCAGCCCACACAACATTTACACCTGGCTCATCAGCAGCTGGGACAGGTACGTGTTTCACCTGCTGGATTAAATGTTGAATAAAAACTCATCACTAATAAAACCTGTGGGATCTGCAGGCTGCAGAAAGGATGCGGCGCTGGATGCAACAGCGGAGGAAACATCGAGGACTCCGACTGCGGTGGCGGCTCCACCTCCATCTCCACCAACCCAGCCATTCACACCACCCAAAGTACCCCCGCCTCCAGCCTCCCCCAGCAGCACATCACAACCCTCCAGCCTTCCATGGGTAAGATCTGTTCACAGCTCGTCGTGGAAATCTGATCTCTGTCTTTGTTTAAAGGGTTCTCTGCTGCCGAGTGTCACTTTCACATGTTAAAATTACCGTATTTATGCAAGACAGACTTCAGGATGTTTCAGGCTCTGGTGGGAAAACATTATTTGGGGATGGGGGGTGACACTTGTGGGAGTGTTTGTTGCAGCGGTTCTGTGTGTCTCTGAAAACCGCCCGGTCCCAGAGCAGGAGCCGGTTATTAAATTAGCAAGTTGGATTTTTCAGGACGTGAAACTAGTGTCGTCTTTTCCAGGGTTCCTGCAGATCCTTAAAAAGTCTTAAAAGGCCTTGAATTCATCAATCKAAAAAATAAGACCTTTATTAGCCTTAAAAGGTCTTAAATCAATCAATCTACAGAAGTCTTAAAAATGTTAACACATTGTAAATAGGATGACTGTAGTTCGTATCAAATATTAAAATAATTGGTAACATTTATTTTTTTAAATATTCCCATTCAGATGTTCCCTTTTGACATCACTTCCTGTTATTTCACATGCAAATATCTCAACTGTCCATCTGAGCAACGTGAAATTTGTTTTCTAATATGTTAACGTTGTCTTTCCAAAAATACATTCATATTTCTTACAAAAATTTGATGTCACAGACACTTTAAGGTTTCATCTACAGCAAGCTGGGGTTGAGAACCCACCGTGCATCAAACTCCAAATTTTGGGTCATTAGAGGATTTACAGAAATTAAATTAAGTTTAAAACTGACTGCTAAAAATGTTTTTTGCTATATTTGACAAAATAGTAAAAACAATTTGGTTGAATAATTCAACCAAAAATACTTTCATTCATGAATTTCTGCCAGAGTTTTTATTTTTTGTCATTTGTGTTTATTATGAAATTGGTCTTAAATTTGATTTCATTTGGCATTAAAAAGTCTTAAAAAGTCTTAAATTTAACTTGCCTTAAACTGTAGGAACCTTGTTTTCATTTCCACGGTTAACAAGAAGGAAAAAACAAGTTTTCCTCCTAACCAGTGAGTAAACAATGTTGTTGATATGTTGAACTGTGCGCAACATACAGCAGGTGGGGTGCACAAGAAGAAATTATGATGATTTATCCCCCGTGATCCATTATTTCAATTATATTCAAGAAAATATTGAAACTTATTGCAGTAGTACAATAATAAAAGCAGTTAAAATGTACTCCTGTGTATAGTATGACTGCCCACTTTCTGGATGATGTTTGGGATTAAATTCTTGCATTTTTCATGCAGAAATACGGTAGGATGTTTGTGTTTTCAGTTGCATTAGTTTGTTTTTCTCTTGTCTCAGTAACGGAGGACTAAATTATTTGGCTTTTCTTATATTTTAGGCACAGATTACCCCATCGGCCCAACCCAAAGCTGGCCTCACCACCCTCAGCCTCTCCCATTAGCTCTCCTCAGCCAATCAGAAGGCAGAATGGAGGCAGGACTGCTAACTTCTCTACAGCGAACGTCCTCCATCCAGGGGCTTCTGGGCCAGCAGCTCTCCAGCTCCCAGCTCTCCTTCAGCAGCTCTGTGGCTCCTCCCCCTCTTCCAGGTGCAGAGCGCTTCTGCCCAGCGGCTCTCCTGGAAAACTCAGGGCACAGAGTGGGCCAGCGGAGCGGGCCGCACTACGAAGGCCACTTTGGGAAGTGGAGTTTTTCAGGCAGAAAAGGCTTCAGCGGAGCATCTTCAGTGGAAACAGAAGGKGCAGTACCGACAATACGCACACAGGTGAGGAGACGAGACTGTTTCACTGTCAAAACAACAGACTGGGTCATAAAAATCCTGTTCAAGTTAGATTTTAAATTTTACTTTTAAAGTTTTATAACATCTTCTAAAGCTCCACCCACATTTTATGATGGCTTTGTATWTTTGACTGGTGGAAATTAAAATAGAGACACCAGTCATCCCAACATTAAAGTAGATTTTTTGTCTTTCCTTGAGTCACTCAATGGTCGTTAATAAAGTGAGCATTACAGGAAATATCTGAAACATCTGCTGTAGCCTCAGCTGTGTTGGATCRTTCCATAGAAACTGCTGCAAATAATAATTAGATTTGACATTTTTTACCTCAAACAGATGTTTTTACCTGTTTATATCTGACAACATGCTGCGCTACAGTSGAGTCTTCAGTCAGAACTTGAGACTGAGTTCTGTGAGTCATTAATGCTTCATGGTGAGGAAATCCTGCTCCATGTTTCTCCCTCTGCACAGAGGGAGGTGAGGCGGTCAGATCCACAGTCTGTAGATCCTTAAAAGCTGCCAGAACCAGAATAATACCAAGCTGTGAGCGCAGCGCTGAGGTCAGTGATGATGGACACATGCTATGAAGGGAATCAGGTTTTGGTTGAGTTACTCAGCCATGATGAAGTCTGTGAAAAGGCCTACGTGTTGGCCCGAACGAGCCGGGTTCTGCAGGCCTTATAAAGCCTTCAGCACAGTTATAGATTGTTGCTGTAGAGCCGGTCCACAGCAGGCGGTGAATGAGTTATTGACCTCTTTGCTGTGAACTCTTTCTCATTAGGGGCAAACCATCCCTCTACTCTAAATAAGAACACAGCTTTGTTTACTGTTTACTCATGTGTAACTTCAGGGTCAGGCTCARAAATCAAGTTTTCACAAAACCCACACAAGAGGAGCTCAATCCTGGTCCTTGAAGACCACTATCCTYTATATTTTAGATGTTTCTCTGCTTTGACACACCTCATCTGAACAAATGAGTGATTAACAAGCTTCTGAAGAGCAGTGAAGCAGCTAAGCCCCTGTTCAGTGATACTGTAACAGCTGCTTGTTTGCACGTCWCCAGTGATTGGTCCCCCCACAGATGTGTGAAATCCTCTGCAGGTGTTAAAGCGTGCATGTGCACACAGGTGACTACAGGCTAAAGCTTCTGAACTACCAATAATTACAGTAAACTACAGACAGCAAAGTGTTTTTGTGTCACTCACCCTTTGCAGCATGACGGAGCAAAACCAAAAAATATGTTAAGTTCCAAGGAACATCAGTTTATTCACTAGTTTGGATGTGATCATACAGCTGAGCCCACATCAGGGTTCACAGATCTTCTGTGCACGTTTTCACCAAACACAGCACCCTCTCTCAGCGTAATGAAAGTTTATAGCAAAAAATAATAATAATTTTAAAGTGACAGTACAACAGATCACGTTACATCTGCCTGGCACATTACTGCAGTGGTTCAAAGGAAACAGGTGATTTTTAATTTTTTTTCTTGTTTATTGGATCCAATAAACATTTCCAGAGAGCGGTCTCGTATAAACGGTGCCAAAAACATGCAGGTTAGTGGACCTCGAGGACCACGACTGCAGACTGCTGGTTTAAACCAAAACTGAACAGCCTCTCATTTTGAGTTTAACTGTTTTAGGAATACTTATTTGTCATTTCTTTAGTAATAATTTGTGATGAAAATAGTCATCTTGAAGGAAGCAATTTGACAGATTACAGGTTAGTTGTGTTGTTTCACATTTTAATCTCAGATTTTATAAGATAAGTTATTAAAGCTTCAAAGCTGATTTGGTTTGTTTGTATTTAGAGCTTTTGATGATGCAGAGGTTCTGATAAATAACAGACTAACAACACTAAAACATCTGAAATTAAAGATATACTTTTTTTAAACAGTATTTTCTGTAGAAACTCTACAGCAGACTCCCATGTGAACAGGTTCAGACAGCAGGTTTATTGTTGGGACGCAGACAGGATGTGAATCAGGGGAAAAAAGCACTTTTATCAGATTATAATTCTTATTGTTCAACAGATAATCTGAGTTATCGCTGCTGTTACTGGCTGAGATCTCTTGGTCTTTATTAGAAACAGGTTCTTGGAAAACTCGTGAATCATCTTTTGACAGTAGTTTGCAGCAGTGCTGATTTTCTTTGGATTAGCCTCCTGTGATCTGTTTGATGCGGTCTCTTCCAGCCCGCCCCCCCTGCACCACTACAGGAGGCCGTTCTGACCCAGGACCCGCTGGGAGCCACTCAGACCCTCAATCCAACCGCGCTGCTGGCTTCAGGAGACCCCCCGACCCCGAAAGAGGAATCCACAGAGCTGCCTTTACTTGATCACCTGCGCTGAGCTCGCACCGGTGATGGTTTCTACAATAAAAAAGCACACAGTGGACCAAAGCGGGTCCGCCCAGAACCAGACTCATTCCAGCCTTCGGCACTCATTCTCTCTCTCTCTCATTCAGTGCAACGATTTGTAGATTCTCCCAATGTCCCACTGATACAGGCTAAATCTGGGTACACACACACACACGCTCTGTCTCAACATCTGGTAGCATGCTGAGCTGATGCACGACAGACCAGGGATGATTTGAACCAACCTGTTTTATTCTGAGGTTGAGTGTCGTCATGAGGTTTGTTGTTTCATTCACTCCCATTTTTGTTTTTTTACAAACACGAGCTCTGTGTGTCTCTGGACAAGCTTTGGGTCAGAACAGCGACAGGCATGAATGGCCAGTGCAATTACAAGGGATGGTTTTATTTTTTTATACTGGACAAAGGTCTTGGCGACAGCAGCGTCATTTTTCATAGCCAATCAAAACAGATCAATATGTGACGTATAAAGAAGTGAAGGACGTGTAGGAGCCGTGACGAGCCTTTCTGTTTGGGTTTCATCCCGTTCCTGACTGGACCTGCAGCAGAGTCGGCGCTTGAGGAGCCTCTGCTTCCACGTTTCTTCTCCACTCAACATGTAATGAGCAAGTAAAGAAAGAAAACCTCATCAACATCCAACCGTTTGAGATTCAGGAGAAGAAAAAGACAAACATCCTCCTCCATCCGAGCCAACAAGTGGTGCTTTCACAGCTCGTTTACAGAGGATTCAGTCCCGACTCGGAGCAGAACGGGTGGATCGGGATCAAACAGGATCCTGTCTGACCTGAAGGTGTTGAACGTTTTGTTTTGTTTTACTTGAAGAATCTTCAGCGTTTGAGACTTAAGTTTTCCATCGGGGAAACTGTAACGCCCCGTCAGGATGGATCCAATCAGATCACGGCTCTCCAAACGGCAGGCTGCTGTGGTTCCTTTACATGCAGTACCCCCTGACCACCCCCCAGCACCATTACTGTACTACTGCTTCTGCATCTCCTACTACTAGTAAACCCACTACTACTGCTGTTTCTACAACAGTTACATCCAGCGTTTTAGTTGGAAGGTAAATTGAAAACAAAAAAGTGGACTATTTATTTGAATATTGTCTTACAGATATCTTTTACAGGGTTTGTCTTCACGGTGTGCTGATATGAATTCTACCTTCTGTCTACTGCATCCCCTCCCCTCCCTCTTGTGTTTGCATCAAATCATCTCAGCAGCGATCATGTTTATTTTTTGAGGAAAACGTTTGTTTTGATGGTGTTTTGTGTGGAACGTATGAGCAGTCAGTATGTAACCTGTCATAGACAGCAATTAAAATGCTGTTTGGGGATACTAAGCTAGTCAATTATCAGAACTGGGCCATGACATTGGTAGTAAAAAAGGGATAGTTTACATTATTTAAATGGAGTTTGGAAAGATTAATAAAAAATCTCAGTTTAAAGAAATGGGTTGCATTTCACCAAATTGATGAGCTGATGGCTAGTCCAAGTGGGGAAAAACAAGTGAATCGCTGTCAATCAAACATCTGATTCTAGTTCATGAGCTTTTTTTTTCTACAACTTTATATTTCCTGCTTAAAAATTAAAAATTTACTCCAACTTGTGATTCCCTTGTCCACTGCAGGTAAGATACTGACTGCTCAGAAGTCTTCTACAGAACACAAAGAAAATGTCTTTAAATTTATAACGCAACTGGAAATATTCCTGAGAAGTCACGTTGAAGATGGTCTTTCCCCCCACTCTTGCACTATATTTTTTGACCACTGTGAAAAACTAAAAACTGAGTTTCTGTGGGTTCCAGTCAACTGTAAACACACAACATGAAGCTGTCAGACCCAAGAGTTGTTTGTCTGTCCAGTGGTTTTTAGACTCTTTGTCCAGTTGTCTAGCAATGTGCCATAGCATTAACCATAAACCTGGAGGTTTTTTTATTATTTTCGTCAAATCAAAACAAGAAAAACAGGAAAGAAATAAAATTTTATTCCACATGAAGTCTTTAAAAATGAAACTTTAAAGTGGAGTTTTTATTTTGAGGCGGTTTCCTCAGGTGAGATTAGGTTTTGGAGCAATGCAGGGTAAAGATCCACATCATGGCATTTGCTCAGTTACATTTTTCCAATTTTCAACAGTTTCTTTGTAAAATAAGCTTGTTTTGATGCACACTAACATTTTGTCTGCTGCAGGTAAGACACTGACTACCCACACCAATTTTTTTAAGTCCTTTTTAGAATAAAATCACAATTTAGTGTTCAGTTGAAACAAGACGTCCCTTTTTCCTTGGCTCGGTGTAAAAAACCTGCATCTGTATGAAACGACTTCCTGCTGATGTTTTTCTCATTTAATTTTTACGTTTGAGCAAAAAGTTTTWTTTTTTTTTTTTTGAAGCAGTGAAGGCGTCCGCATCCCTCTCACAATCTGTTACCACCCTTAACTCAGGAAAAACAAACTTATTGATCAGTGCTGGATTTTCTTTTTATTTGTTTATTTCGTACACAAAAGGAACAGGAAGTTGTGCTTTTATTTTTTTTTCTGGGAGTCAGGAAAGCACAAGCTAACAGACAGATGTGGGTGTCGGAGGAGAAATTTTTAAAGGGATTTCTTAATGTCTGAACCTCTGTACAGCATGTTTCCTATATAAATATATATTTAAAATAAATCTATTTTATTATTGGATTTTGGTTTCTTCATCAGAAACACTGAGGTTTCAGAGTGGGATTGTTGCGTTTCGGACCCTTCAGTGTGAAACGCTGAAAATAAACGTGCAGTTTGGGAAGAATTACTGAGAACTTCTTTTGCACAACACCGTTCACCATCCCTGCTTTTTGTTTTCTTTCTCTTCTTTTTGGGAGGCAGATTGTTTATTTAAGAACTTTAGGTCAAATGTTCTGTACAGTTTTTTATGTGACCCCCTTTCTTCTATTTAAATTAAAGTTTTTGTCTTTGTTTGCAAATCATTTGCTTTGAGTCATGTTTTCCTTCACAAGTGTTTAAATTAGACTTATACTGTAAACCCGTGGTACTTGTGTACCCAATACCACTAGAACAACTTCAAACGTAATGATGGTTCTCCAAAACTATAATGTACTACAACTAATTATTAAATTAAATTTTTTTATTTAAACCCCAGACAGTGTGCAGGGCTGAAGGAACTGTCCAAGGTCCTGAAAGTGCTGGAATGTTTCAGGACTTTAGACCAGGGCTATTCAACTGGCGGCCCACGAGTGACCAAAATTTGGCCCGTCAATTGGTTCATTCATCTCTTAAGCCCAAGCCCCCGGTTTTCTACTAGTTAAACATTGACATGTTTGGTAGCAACAGAAACATCAAGGTCTTAGCTAGAATCTGATAAAAAACATTTCTATGAACACTCAAGACAGTTAAAATTACAATCAGTTGAAGATAAAACTGAAAATGAAAAAAATAGGTTTAAAAATATGGCAGGTCAGAAATGTCAAAATATGGTTTGTGTTTTATAAGAGGCTTAATGTGTTATTTTTGTTTTTGATATTTTTATCACTACTTTTATAAGGTGCTGAATGCTATATCCATGATTAAATACAGCAAAATATATTATTTCAAAGGTAACAGATCTTTGTAATACTTTGTTTATTTACATAATAACTTTAATTCCTGGATATTCAGCCCCTGAGCAGTTGACCTGCAGTAACTGTGGACCCTGGAGCAGTTTAGTTGAATAGCCCCTCTTTAAACAGTGTGAAGGACCGAAGGAACTGTCCAAGGTCCTGAAAGTGCTGAAATGTTTCAAACTTTTAGACTTGTGTACCCACTGAGCCCCCTAAGTGGTAATTTCCCACTTACAAGTTGAATTTAAACTGGGACACAACTTCAGTGGAAATTCTCTATTGGAAAGTGGGAGAGTTCAGAATTCAAGATGGCAGCAACTCTTTTAACAGTATTTCTGTATTTATTTTACATTTAGTTAGTCATRCAGGTAGTACTTCTCAGTGTTTATAATGCTGCYTTCCAGTAGTCCTGGGAAGTGGTAATTTCCCTGTTCCCATTTGTAGATTTAAACTGGAACGCCCCCTCCAGTGGTAATATTCCACTCGTATAGTGGAAGAAATGAAACTGCCCCCAGTTTCATTTTAAGATGGCGGCTACTCACAGCTTTAGAAAGTTAACTCCGTAACTTTTACTGTTAATTATCTTCTCAATTTTTTTGTGCATGTTTAATCACTCGCACAAGTAGTGTATTTTCTACTGCACTTATTAAAATCAATGTTTATTTGCATGACGTACATAGTAGAGCTCTCTTTTTGTCATTGTTTATATTCTAGCAGTGTTGTAGCTAGGCTAGGTTAGGTTAGCGGCAACAATACAATCACCTGTCAGCTAACTGGAATGCAGTTTCATATGGTTAGTTGGGAAATGACGTCACTACCATTTACCAGTTCCAGGAATACGATYTAAATGGAAAGCAGCTTAAGAAGACGTGTTAAAACACTGTTCCTATGCAGAAAATACCATGTGGAGCTCAGTTATTGTTTAACAGGGCTTAGACGTAGCAGTGAGATGAAGAATGTGACGTTTTGTGTTTTTAGTCCAAGTCAAAACGTCAAACTGGTCCTTTGAGGACCACCAAAACGCTCACGTGACCCTCAGTGAAAAGGAGTTTGACTCTCCTGTTGTAACACGTTTGCAGCAGTTTTCTGCTTATGACTTGATTTATTGCCTTTTTATGTTTCAGACTTCTAAAATTTAAAAAAGTGGCAACTATAATAAATGATGTATTGGTGATTAAAAAGATAAAATACTTTGAATGATGAACTAAATATTTAACATGTAAAACTTCTAAAAAGGATGAGTTATTTCAGTATCTCAGTAGACTAACATTTTTCTCGTAATGACTTATTTTCAGTATTTTTAAATAAAAACTTAAGTTGTCATTTTTATATGTGAACCATTTGGATCCTGATCATTTTCTATTTCTCATCTTCAATGACTTGTTTTCTTCCCTTGAAATAACTCGACTCGTGATTTAACAAGACATTTTTGTCTTGATAGGTTGCTCTTCAGTATGAGACGTTTCTCATATTGAGATGGTGGCTTTTGTGTTTGAGACACAGCTTTTCTCACATTGAGACCTTTTTTATTTATTTAGGTATTTTTACATCTAGGAAAGCTCCTCAGAGAAAACAAGTTTTGTTATCAAAATCTAAAATAAAACAGCAGGTACAACCGTTCTCGTCTTGGACCTTCAGCTGATGTGAGGGGCTGAAGTTCAGCTGCTACGAACCAACGTCCAAATGGATCCAAAGAGTCCGTTTAAAGTTCTTTGTTTGGTACCACAGAGTTGGTTTTTCAGTACCTGGTGGTCTTCAGACGAAGGAGCGTTTCATCAGAGACGGGGTGTACCGGATCTCGTTGTAACACTCCTCTTCCTCGGCCTTCCTCTCCTTCCATCTCCCATCCTGCCCGGTCCGACGCAGCCACAGAACCAGGACCAGCAGAGCCACCAGAATCAGGCTCATGACCAGAGTGAGCAGAACACCCTGCAGGAGGCCTGAGGGTCCGTCTGGGGCTGCAGAGACGTAAGCAAACACAAAGAAAGCATCAGTTCAAACAAATGGTTCAAAGGGTTAATGATGGGAAGGCTTTAGCCAATCAGAGAGCACGATCACAGCTAAATGTTAACACTGATGTTTGTTTAATACTATAAACTATGTTCTTGAGAAAATGTCCCTTGAGCAAATGACCGAGTTCTGCAGTCGACACTCACGGGTGTAAATGACCAGGCTGACGTAGCAGTGTTCTGTTCCCAGGATGTTGGAGGCGGAGCAGCGGTACAAACCAGACGTCTGAGACGACACGTTGAGGATTTGGACCAACCCGGTCCAGTCCCCTGAGAGAGGGAGACACGTTCAGGTCAACGACTAAAACTTAGCTGTGAACCAGCTGACGGGTCAGGAGATTATTTGTGTGGTGAGACTGTGAGTTAATATCTCTTCCCTCTTAACATCCTTTCAATCCTGCCTCTATTTTTTTTAATCAAATGAAAAATCCCCTAAATTAACTGAAGCGATGATCCTTGAAGAAGAATTCAGGGATTAATTACCCAAAAAATGTGAAACAATCTGGCCCTGATAAAAAACAAAACAGTTAATTTTGTCCAAAATAAAACACTAAACCAATTTGTAAGAGTTTAAAAAATGATCTGTCACTGCCTGATACACGTAGGAAATTTAATCTGTTTCCACATGAGGACAGAAAAAACTTTGGCTGCCATTTTTTCAAGAAGTCATCTTTTGTGTTTTTTGACCTGAATTATGATTGAATTTGACTGTGTCCCAATACCAGTTTGTTTTTTTTAATCACATACGAGTACTTCAGGTACTCACCGATACCAAGTACTTCTACTAAACCTTACAAAATGACTTTAAAAACAAAAAAGAAAATCAAAAACATACAATGGAGTATCTCAGCATCTATACTGGTATTAGTCCTGAGTTTTGTACAAGTACTTGTAAAAATTTTGATATCAAAACATCACTAATTGAGTCGGTCAAACTTCCCAAAGTTTGCATCAAAATATATTTAATTTAACTCTGGAGTCAAAACAACCAACCATTGAAAACTTTGATTAATGAGGGACTTAAATCAGGAGGTTCTGATGGATCATGATTTAAGATTTTAATGTAGGTGCCATGATTTTAAGAAAAAGTAGGTCCTCCCTGATGCAGGTTCTTATAACTTCATGTGTGCAGAATCAGTTTAACTGAACCAAATGACAGCTGCTCATATTGTCATAAATATTCGAAACAGGAGGTTTCTGACAGCTCAGGCTGGAATATCAAATCTGAAACCTCCTGTGGACCTGAGGACTTCAGGTGTGACACTGACCCTCCATATTGATGGGCAGGGAGATTTCCTCAGGGTTCACTTTCTCCCAGCGGATGTCTGGAGTCGGGACGCCCACCGTCACCGAACAAGACAGCCGGACACTTCCGCCCACGTCAGTGTCTCCGTCCCACTTACAGTCGGGCAGTGAGGGCGGTTCTGAAACAATCACACAAACGTTATTTTCCTGGGAGATCCAAACTCAGTTTGTTCAGAGTTATCTACGAGTTTGATAACTACTTGAAAACATTAAAATTACTTTAACTAGAACACCTCCAAACATAAAATATAATGTCAGTTTGCTCCATTTATTCTTTAATGAGCAGTTTTTGATTATGTTATTATAAATTTCTTTAAAAAAACAGGAAATTTGTCCATTTTTGTTTCTACGTGTTTAAGCTTTTTATTATATTATATTATATTGTATCGTATCATATCGTATCGTATCGTGTCGTGTTGTATTATATCATCTCATATCATATCAGTCTTAAAACTGTCAACCCAGGGTCTTTCCTCATATGTTACAGGCCCATAAAAATGTGTGATAATTAAACATTTTGACTTTTGTCCCATTTCAGACAGAAAATGTTCAAATAAACTCCTGAAGGTGGTTGTAGAGCAGGGTGAGGCTCTTGTACCCAGAACGCTGAGCTCCAACTCTCCGATGCCAGGATCTGCGGTCTCTGGCAGGTTGTTGACCACYCAGCGGTAAACTCCGGCGTCTGAGACCCGGGTGTCGTTCAGGAGGACGTCTGCACTGAAAGGAAGACCTGCAGGTTCCCAGGAAACATGAAGGTTTCAGTCCGTCAGTAAAGGTCCTTACAGAGACTAGTTGTAACAGCAGAAATTATTAAATATTTACTATTTATTTATTTTTTAAAATAATATAATGTTGTACGGATGTCATGTTATTTATACCGCAAAGCATTCTGGGTATATGATGACACAAGGTGCTCCAGCTTGAAGGTTCATTTTGATTTCAGCTTCCTTCGGCTTCTATTTAGCTTTTTTCTACAATTTTAGCTATCATTCTGACCACCTTCTTCTAAGTTTTGAGCTTCTTTTGACTTCTTTCTGCTAATTTTAACAGTTTTTTATGTTTTTAGCTACTTTTTTGCCAATTTGAACTTTTTTCATTTAAATTCATGTATTTTGTTTTGGATAATTTCAGCTTCTTACTGCTTAATTCAGCAAACATGCTCTTTCTCTTTCTTTGTGCTAATTTTAGCTACTTTTTTGCTATTTTTGATTTAGCTTCAGCTATTTTTTTAATTTATTCAGCAAAAATCATTCAGCATCAACCATTCACATCTCATTTTTGCAGGAAATGTAAATTCTCTATTATTAATATTAATAATAATAAAATAACAATATCGCAACAGCTCTAAAGTAAATGTATGGCGTTAGCTCTTAAGTTAATAATATTAGCTAACACCATAGCAGTAGTATAAATATGGCGTTAGCTCCATCGCTAATTTTCTAAACATCATGTTTGATCATTTCAACCCATTCAATGTGCTAAACATAGAAACTAATACAAAACATCATTTTATTGTCTTATAGTTTAACTGCAACCCATCATCATCATCATCCCCAGAATGCATTGCGTCAGTGACAAAATGGAGACATGCTAAAGTGAAAAATGTAATAAACTTAGTTTTTAAAGTAATCAGATGTTTTTATGTGTCACAGGAAACTACTTTAACACATGACACGTACCTGTAAAACCCACCCTGCCCATGAAGAAGGGGTCTTCAATCACCTGCCTGTGGTCGTACACGATCACCTGCAGGTCAGTCAGACACAAACACGTCATTTCTCTGCTCATCATCACCACGCGCCATCAGCCTCAGCCCACACCTGGATCGGGGTCTCTGGGTCGGAGAAGCGAGCCAGGGTCAAGATGATGTTGAGTCTGGAGAGGCGGGAGGAGGAGGTGGAGAAGGAGCAGGGCAGGAGGACCGAATCGCCTCGGACCACCTCTAGACTGGACTCCCTCATGCTGACCCTGAGAGCAGCTGGAGACGAGAACGAAAACTCAATCATTCAAACTTGTTGATCAGTGGTCCTAGTTTATTCAGAGATACTTTCTATTCTTTAAAAACCAGTCAGGGTTCAGAGATGTCATGGGGGGGTCGCGATTCAGGCCGCAGACCGCCATTTGGGGACCTCGTTCTGAAAAGAGTTTTTCTAAAGTTCACATTTTATTGTTAACATTCTGCTTTGAACTCTTCGGCTTTCCTGTTGATGCAAAAACTGAATCGGGTCTGCTCCCCCCTCATTACTGCAATAATGAACGTTCTCCTCCTCCTCTCACACCCCAGGCCTTGTGTGTGTGTGTGTGTGTGTGTGCGTGCGTGTGTGC